CAGGCCAATCAAAATGGCTCATAGGATGACACCAAATGTCAAATTATGAAGTCATATTTGCTGACGTCATTCATACTTAAATTTTAAATCTCCCAAATTTTTATATCGTTTTTGAAAGAACTATTCAAGGGAAGTTGAAAGCTCAAAAAATTTTTTCAGTGTCTCAAATATGAGCTGAGATATGACATTTTGAATTTGGATAAATTTGGACCACAAAAACGGGGTACCCCCTTTTAAAATAAGCCTTAATTTCAGAGTTTTATTGTCGAGTCACCCTTGCTATTTAAGTTACAAATAACACATCTTTACTGTCGAAAGCTAAAGGAAAAAGAAAAATTTAAAAAAGAAATTCCTAACTGCGCAAAAACTCGGAAAAACTCGTGATGTCATAAAATGTCACGTGATCAATTTTTTGGTTTGCTTAAATTAGTGTTTTTGAGTCAAAAAACAAAAATCTAAAATGATACGATTTTGGCCAATTATAAAAGGTATGTGCACCGGAAAATCAGCTTATTTTGCCAAAAACTGTGAAAAAAATATCAGAGGAATCGTTTTTTAAGGAAAAAAATGGTTTCGGGGGGTCAAATCAAATTTCTTTGAAGCCTTATAACTCGGGTTGTACGTGTCGTAGCCAGAAACAGTTTTCACTGTTTTTCTCCTCTTGCTAGGTTTAAGATGCCCGATGTTTTTTTCTGTTTTCGTGTGGTTTAGTCCCAAGTAAAATGGCGCATCGTCAGGCATCATGTTTTCCTGTCACTTTTGAAGGTAAATTTTGTACCCCATCGTAGGATCTCGTTCATCACCATTTCGGGGAAACTCCAGACCTTGTTTTTGTCTGTCGATCATGGTAAACTACAGATATTTGTTACCTTGTGGGTCCTTACGTTGCTTTACATCCCACCAGCACAAATCCCTGGCTCTTGACAACCACGCATTCCAAAAAATGTTGTTCATGATCAGCCAAACAGTATTCAGCAATGACTCACCAGAGGAAACTCCAAGCACATTATTTTCGTACAGTATATCGACTTCCTCGTCAGTGATTGCCACAGCAGCTTTGTCCTTGTCCCCTCGGCTAGCTTTCTTCAGCTCTTATTGTTTAGCCTGCAGGGGCGGATCTAGGGGGAGGGTGCAGGGGGTGCGCACCCCCCCTGAGGTGACCTGCGGTTTTCTAATACAACTGGTATTCTGCAAAAGAAAAAAAAAATGTGGTTTATTGGTGTTGAAGTAGAGCAAGAGACGAGTGCACCCCCTCCTAAAAAAAATCCTGGATCCGCCCCTGGCCTGTAACATTTTCTAAACAATTCAAACTCTTTATCTTTAATGATCTTAGTGTAATTATTTTTCTTCAAATGTCTCTCAATACTTGAAACAGGCATCTTAAACTTGAAGGCTCATAATCCTCTCCATCTTTACGTCTCACAGAGCGAATAAACTCGGCAAGGTGCTTGTTTAATTCTGCAGACTGTATGTTTTGAACTTCTCACTCGTCGTTCTTTTCGTTTCTTAAAACGTTTCCAACAATTTCACATCTCGTTTCGTTTTTTCTTTCGTGTTCTTGTTTTCGAAACTTTCCACATAATCCGCGACCGAAGTATCGTGATCAACAAACCTTTTCTCGTTCATGTTTTTAAGGTTCGACACTTGTCGAACTCAGTACTAATACATGTAATCTCATTGGGCATATAATAATGGGTTGTAAAGATCAATTTGTTTCAGTGTAAGAGACTCAAAGATGGAAGGGGTGTCGCTACAAAAATACTGGGTCGAGCCACCTTTAGTTTAACTGTTTTAACCAATACCAGGACATGTACATCGGAATGGTAGTAACTAAAAATCGATCAACTGAAACAGTCGTTTAGCTAGTTATCAAATATTGTGATGGTCCATTTCTAGCATAACCAGGTTATTTATTTATCAAGAGAATAGTCTCTAATAAAGAATAATTGTGAAGAGAACATGCTCCCTAGTCTCGACCGGCGGCTCGCTGCTGGTGCTCTTCATCGGGCAATTTGTTGAGTTGAAGCCGGCGTTGAAAGTCTTCCTTATTGTTCTTTTTTTTATCTGCAATTACTACTTTCTCATCACAACTGCGAAATGTGGGATGACACAATGGTTTGAAATAGAAGGATAGGATGATGGGGAAGTTTTGAAATTGATTCCAAAACTTAAAGTTAAAGGATTAAAGGTGTTCATTTCGATCCCTACCCGCTTTTGCTTCCGGCAACCTCTTCCCCGAAAAAGACTTCGCATGAAAATGCGAATGGAAATAATAAAATCAGGTTTGAGAAAGGCGTAAATAACAGGATTCACAAGCGAATTGATGGCTACGGTGAACGAAGAAACAGTTGGCATAAAATCGGGAATTATATCAAAACGGCTGAACACCATTTGGGCAGTTGTCATGTAAACAATAGGCAACCAACAGAAAAGAAAAATTGCTGAGATTATGCAGAATACTTTCGCTATCTTAATTTCTTTTGACAAACGTCTTCTTTCATTCGTTCTCTCTTGCGAAGACTCTACCTGAAAGTTTTTTTGCAGTGCCAAACTGCGTCGAACTTCCTTGAACATTCGAACATAGGCAAAAGCAATGAAGACACATGGGACGACAAAGCCGAATACCTGAACGCATATGATGTACACTTTGTGTATTTGAAGTTCATAATTTGTGTTCCAAAACAGCGGAAGTGAGGAGAAGATTATTGGCATTAGCCACGAGAATATGACTGCTTTTTTGAACATCTTTGGTACCAGGTATCGGCTTCTCAGCGGTTTCATGATGGCAACATAGCGAGCGTACGTCACCGAGGATAAGTTACAAGAAGAAGAGAGGAGAATCATACAGATGAGATAACCAGTTGCCAGAGATGAAGGCTTGCTTAGTACCATCGGTAAAAGGACTCCTCCTGTTAAAATGTCTGACAGAGCTAGTGACATTATAAACCCATTTGTGTATGTCCTTAGGGCTTTGTTTATGCAAACCAAACAGCAAACAAAAACGTTCATTACCACTACAAGTACTGACAAAATACTCAGAGAGACCAGGTAGGAAACATGAAGCGTAGCCATTATATCTTCCTTTGTATGTCAGACTAACATGCGTTTTGTAACCATCTGTTATGTAAATTGTGTTTGCAAGACAACAAATTTTATACCGTTTGGGCTCTAACCATTCATTTATGGCGCCTATGGGTCCTACCTCGTTTATTAATTTTTTGAAGGAATGTCACCTCTTTTGAACGACAAATGGCTATTTGTGGCCCCCGTAAAGCCATGTAAGGGATAAAAATAAGCCATATGTCTGGATAATTAAATTCCTTTTTGTCGGTTTCATACATCCTTTGTTCAAATAGTTACCTGTTTTTCAGTGATCTGCTTAATTCTTCTTGATTTCAGGTTAAGGTCCATTCTTGCAAATCAACCGACTAAGAATCACCATCTAAGTTTTTGTTTTTTGCTTTTTAAAAAAAAATTAAGAAGAAACGCTTGTCACAAGCAACTCTTATTTTGTTATCCCTGGGTTTCAAACTCCAATAAGCTCCTATAATTGATCAATGCCTAGGCGATATTTGCATACTCATTTTGGTAACGTCTACAATTTCATACAACTTTGTAATAATATAATTTGTGTCTAGCTATTTCGACGTTTTGAGATTAATCATTATTTAAAGTTTTGCTGAAGATAAGTCAGTATTAATATTATTATTATTATTATTATTATTACTATTATTATTATTATTATTATTATACAAAACAGCATTTAAGATTTCACAACTTATTGCTGTTAACGATATCCCAAAGTTATTCAAAACAACATAGTACAGACTCATGATCTTGACGATGATAATGATCATGATGATGATTATTATGATTACATCTTTTACTTTAGATCCTGAAATAACATTCTGTGCTATTTTACGTCGTCACGTAACACTCCTTCCTCTTTGCCCAAGCAGGCGTTACTAAGCCCCAAGAACGTTTTAGTGCTATACCAACACAGTACCGTAGCAAGGTTAAATTTATTGGGGGGGGGGGGGACAATCACGAGCGGCTAGGGGGTCTGGGGGCATGCTCCCCCGGACGTTTTTGAACTATAGGGTCAAAAAAAAAGCATTTTCACCCTTCAGAGAGCATTAATTTCCAGCAATTGCTATCATTTTGCAGCAATCTTAGTCAAGCGGCATTTCCATTTTTTTTTTCGGTTAACCCTCCCTCCCACCCGCGAGCCGCATCAGGGGGGTGGCCTTTGGGTTTACGTGGCCTACTCCCTGCTGCGGCTTTGCTATTTCCGGCAAAGAATAAAGTCAATGTTTTTATTTATAGCTCAGTGTGGTTTGTCTGTTATTCTCAGCTTATAAGTCTGGTGATTGACACGAAGGATTCTATCATCTGATGAGCAATTTAAACATGTTATCTGAGCTTCTAATGGTTTAGCGGAGAAAAGCATTTGACTTTGGAGACAGTTATTTTAGCAGCTGTCAGAAAATGTAAATAAAATAAAATATCTCTCATATCTTTATCTGAAAAAAAGGGCTTTAATTTTGTTATTTTAAGCACGAGTTAATGTTTTTCTCATATTTTTAATTTTCAGCTACTTTCTAAAGGGGTGATATTATGTAATTAAAGAAAAATCGCGCGGTATCACTGAGTTACGATGCGCCTTTGCTTCAGATGTCTTAATCCATAAACAATAATGGCAAATTCACCTGTGAAGAGATAATTTTGCTGAACCACAAGTACTGGTGACCAAAAATTGAAAACTGAAAAGTGAGCATTCCCACTAAAAGTTTACTATTAATAGGTTCAAAGCCTGTGGAGAGGTTCTCGATCTCCTTTAAGGGGTAGTACGAAAAGCACGAGAGAGCGCAAGGCAACAGTTTAATGCCGTTTACGTATCATGTTAGAAACTGTTTCCTATAATCAGGATAACTGCTGCCGAATGAGTAAACATGAACTCCTCGGTTTGTTTCAATCGCTTTTCTCGGAACGAGACACTTATGATTGTGCGGACAAGCGCACATGCAATTCTGGCAGTTGCAGCCATTTTTGGCAGCTTCCTCGTGATTAGAGCCTTTCAAAAATTCGAAAATCTTCGAAAGGCGCCCAACATAATCCTTGTGAGTTTGTCTGTCGCTGACTGCCTACTGACCATTCCGTTCATTTTGGACATCATGCACATGTTTCTGAAACTAAGTTTTAGTGTGAAACAGAGTCAACAAGCTTTGTGTATATGGAGCGCAAGTTATTGGAAGGAAGAATAAAGCCAATAGTAAGAAGTGCTGGCGTTAATCAGCATGGAGCGTTTCATTGCCGTAAAATTCGCTTTGAGATACCATATCATAGTGACCAATCGCCGGGCAGCGATCGCTTCCATGACGATGTGGCTGTGGACTGCACTCGTTATGGTTGTTTTGCCACACACTCTTAAGGCCAATAGCAGGAGCGACTTTGAACGATTTCGCCAAGCGATTCATCCATGTCTTAGTACTCGAGAAGCATGGCCAGACCGGGATCTGCCATTGCAAACTAAAGTGTACCTCATCTTCGTAGTGATATCTCTGTTAGTCATCCCATTGTTAATAATCCTATCTTCGTACTCCTACATCTTTATAGTGTCCCACAAGCACAGACGACACATCGCAGGGCGGGGTAACTTCCCAGGAATGACCACCATCAGGCATCAACTAAAAGGCGCCCTAACCCTCGCCTTCGTGGTATCAGTATGCCTACTCAGCATCACCCCTTTGCTAGTCGTGACATGTCTGCGATTTTTCAGGAAGCTTCCCGACTGTCGTCATTCAAGACCGAAGCATCTAAATTTCATCGCCTACGTTGTTGCAACTGGTTTAAACGCCATTTGCAATCCTCTTATATACGGATGGAGAAGTCGAAGATTTAGGAGTGCCTTTCGCAAACTCCTGGGGTGCGATCAGCAACCCGGTTAAGACAGAAGATAGTTTTCGATACAAGTTTGCTTAGGTAAATACCTTAAACTAGCGGTAAGAATTTCCACCTAGGGTCGTCGATCGTTTTTTTCTCGCACAAGAAAACTTTCTATGCTGTTAGAAGAGAAAAAAAATCCTTTAAAAGCGCTCTTTATAGTAGAAATAAATGCTGTAGTCCAAAATTATCGTTACTTAGCTTTTGTCTATGATGATAGACTTAAAAGAAAGGAAAATATTAAGGTGGCTCGACCCATTATTTTTTGTAGGTACACCTTCCATCTTTGAATCCCTCACACTTAAACAAATTGATCTTTTTTGTAAAAACATTATAACACATGTATTACGGCTTTATTATGACATTATTTTTTGGGCAATCGGAGTAAATATCACATGACATTGACGTCGCAATAGTTTTAGCTCTAAATCGAATTTCTGCCCTTATCGGCATTTTCTTTGGAAATGCTTTAAGCTACCTATACTTTGGGTGCTTGTCTTCTGTTGTGCGAAGTTTCACAAAAATCTATAAGAGGAATTTCAAGATAACTTGGAATTTCTACAAAAAGGGTATAAATTACGCATAAACTGAAGGTGGGACTTAACGCAGACAAATTTGCTACCTTTCGGAAATTTCCGAAAAGTTTTTATCACTGCACTCATTCGATTTGCAAATGAACTTTATACAGTCTACAACTAGCTAAACGTAATAAGTAGATTTCGAAAAACAAACATGAAAACATGTGAATCAGTAAAACGCAATGCTGAGCTCTTTTTGTAATTTCTAAAGCCTGGTTTCCATATGATCGTCCGGATCCTTTCGATTGTCCCAGTCGACTCAAATAATAGAGACCATAGGCACCAGAACGGGAGACACGAGGACGGCGTACCGGAAGTCCATTATCCGGTTCAGTTACGCGCAGAACGAAAGAAGTTGTCTGCAATCTCCCTTCGTCCTCACGTCGAAAACGCAATTTTCACTGTTTTCACGTTGTGCGAGCAAAGCCGCTTCCCATGCCAAGCTTTTTTGTTATGTGCATGGACTTACCAGATTTTTCGAAGGAATCGTAAAGAATCATCTTTCTGGTGTTCAGTGTTAAAGTATTTTAGAAGACATTTTAAGGTAAACGTCGTCCCTGAAGCAGAGAAAGCCTGAAGCTTAAATAAACCGTCCCGGTAAGCTAAGATCCCTAATGTTTATATTGTCAATGCCGATTGCTCTTTTCTTTGCAGCGCAAATGCGGTATTCTTTACAGCAGATGACGCGTGAGAGCAAAATCTGTCATAGGAATAATTCTTTGTGTAAAGTCATTTGTTTTCATTTTCCCGAGAAACATATGGATAAACAAACACAGGAAAATTATTAAGTCTATTAAGCTTAAGTAATCATTTGTCTCTACCGTCAAAAATTATGTCAAGAGTGTTTAGTTTACTAAAGAGAACAATGAGAAGAAACTTGCAGAGTGATGGGTGGCTTTCAAGCAAATTTTCGTTGATGTACAAAGTATATTAAGGCTTTCAAAGGACATGCATGAATTTTTAAATGCTCGTTGCTTTAAAATCAATTCCAAATGCAACGAGTATCGTCTCCTTCTCGTTGTAACTGCTTTAGCATTTCTCTAGTCGATCGTAAACCTGTTTTGTCTTGCTTTTATTTTACTTTTTTTACTTTTTTCTTTGCTTGTTTAATTAGTTTTGTTTTATCTGCTTCTACAAAAGACGCCATTTTCTCATTTTCATGTTTTGGCGGGAAGTTTCCGTCGCGATGTTGCCTAACATGTTCAAGCAGGGCGTAATAAGCTAGGGCGTTGAAACGTAATACGCGCTCTCTGGTTCAGCTGTGATGCGGAGTAGGACTAAAACTAGTTGGCCTTTCCGCTCTCGACCCGCTGTCAGGGCAAGAAAAATGGCACCGTTTAGCTGGAGGTAGGTTCAGATTTATTGCATTATATCTTTAGATCGGTGCAATCTATAATTAGATTTCATTTGGCGTATTTCTATGCGATATACAGAAAATATTTAGGTGATATTTTATAGTTCATCCTATAAGTGAAGGTGTTTTTTGTCGCCTTTTATATTTATGTAGTGTCAAAATGGCCTATCGAATATTAAAAGGTTCAAGGTCGCGTTTTATCTTGCCAGTCAAAACCAAATGATAGTAAACGGCTACAAAAAAATATGTAATGGTTTTATAAATTTTGTTTCTGCATGCAAAGTTTTAGAGTGAACTTTTATGAACCTTTGAGGTTTTTTTACTTCTGAAGTGACGACTTCATAATGGCGATAGCAACCCTGGGTTTTGTTTTGTACGTTGGCGTTTAGCTTGTTAGTAAAATAAAAGATTTCATTTGCCCAATTTAGCGATTTTTCTTTCCTCAATATACACTAAGATGGTGAATAATTTTTTTTAGTCTCAGAACCGCGATCCAAGAAGGTTCTGACTATTTTTAAAGTTCTACTAGAAAATTGCATTCGAATGATCTCGTGTGACAATCTTTTAAATAAACAACAACAAATTCTGCTTCACTGCGGTATAAATCTAAAGGTTGTATTAGTGACCATTTCATTACAAAAAGCTGTTATAATCAAACAAAAATATTTGCTGGGCTGCTTCTTTGTGTTCTTGCGACCTCTTTGTTAGTTTTTCAAGGGCAGTGAATTATATTTTTGTCACATACTTATTCTTCATAGCACAGTAGTATTAGTGTACAAGATAAAAAATCATGATGATTTTATTATATTTTAAATTTACCCGGACTTTAGTTTTCACAATCTGTCCAACTGTAGTGCTCAATATTGGAGATAGCTCAATAAGGTGTTTAGAGAAGAATACTGATGTATACCAACAAATCCAAACTTTGATAGTGAAAACAGATCATCTGGTCTTGTCGAAACTGGGCAGCAAAAAATAAATGCCATAGCAGTTGATGAATTACTCAACTTAATATTAAACTGAAGAAGAGAACCGATAATATTGTTTTAAAAATGATGTCAGTGCTATCATCTGAGTTGTGATGCCATTTTCTTACCAAGTCACGAAATGTTAATACCGAGGTCACAGAGGTGGAACTATATTCAATACAGATATTTGTTCGCGGGGGAAAAATTGAACAAAACAGAAAACGAACGAGAGAAAAAATAATTTGCTCCTTCGCTATTGCTTGCAGCAAATGAATGCCACGGGATAATGGCTAACTTTCGCTGGATAATCTCTCTGACGGTCCAGTATATAATCCGCCATCTTGTTTTGTCTCTTTGGTGGCACCCAGACCCTTGCATCACAGCTAGATCGCTCGACCCCGCTCGTTTCAACTCCCTAGCTTATTACGCCCTGGTTCAAGCGAGTAGAGTGCGACGTCGGTCTCGCGCCAGACTTCACACAGATTTCCCGTCGCCGTCGTCTCTTCCCGTCCTGTTGCTTAAGGTCTCTAATGTTCAGACGATCGAAACAATCATATCGAAACTCTACCGGGACGATCGCAAACGACCCGGATGACTGAGACGACCTCGATCGCTTAGATAGAGTTGAGTCGGGACGATCGCGTAAATTTTGAAGCAATCATATGGAAACGTTCTCAGACGACTGAGACGATCGGGACGATCACTTTTATTCCAGTAATCGTGAATAAATTCAGCCTGGATGGCGCTGAAGTCGAAAAATATATTAATAACATAAGAATATTTGCACCGCGTATGGGCGCTATTTGAACAGTGTTTGAAATTAGAGAAAGTTCGTGACATCAAGTTCTCGACGTGTTACTATATCTTCCTGAACCTCTCCTAGCTTCTTGTCGCAAAATCGAGAAAAAAGCAGATAGCAAGGCAAGAGGTTCACTCTCCCAATAAAAATCATCTGATTATGTTAGGCTTATTTGCGAAACACAACGAAAAATTCTATTGTCAATTCCAGAGACATCGCTGACGACCCCGCGTCTCTTGCCTTTGAGGCGATCGACACAATCCGATATCATGGGAAACTACAAACCGTCCCAGTCGTCCGGATCGTCTCAAAGTTTTGAAACGACTGGGGTGATCGGGACGATCATATGGCAACAGAAATTACAAAAAAGAGTTCAGCATTGCGTTTTACTGATTCACATGTTTTCATGTTTTTTTCGAAATCGCGCAAGTCTACTTGCGCTCAGCCCGTTGTAGAGTATACAGATGTCTTTTGCAAAACGAATGATTGATTAAAACTTTTAGGAAGCATCCAAAATGTATCAAATTTGTCTGTATTAAGTCGCTAAGGGTAGATATTGTGACGTCATTGTCAGGTGATATTTATTCTGATCGCCCAAAAAATAATATCAAAATGAAGTTTAGTCTATGTGTGATACATGTGTTGTAAAAATTTTACAACACGTGTATGGAATACTTCATGGAAAGTGCGGGCGTACTGTATTTACGCACGAGTTGTTGACGTATACAAAAACAACGAGTGCGTAAATTCCGTACAAAGCACATTCCATGTGGTACTGTTTTTATTGAGCTATTTTGAAAAAATAGCTCATATGTCAGTGGTGTGAGGGTATGTATCTTTGTGGCTTTGTATCTTTGTATCTTTGTAACTTTGTATGTTCGGATGTTTGTTGCAAGAGCCAATAAGGTTGAAGGTACTATGAGTTGATGCTTAGGAACCAATGAGATCTTGGCATCTACTTAAAAATGATATTGCCAAAGGTCGAACAAGGGCACTTTAAGACCGCCATCTTGATACTTCACAATTTTTTCGTCTTTTATTACGGCTACAGGTGTTTGGAAACATTATATTAAATATCTTCATGATTCAAACGCTGTGTACAGTGATGCAGCTGTTTAAGGGTTCATATTTTAGTGTGGATGCTACTTCAAGACATTTCTGACCGAATTCGGCTATCGCGAACCACGCACGTATTTATGAGTTGTGTTTCACCTGCTTCAAGGTAGAGTATAAAAGATCATATATTTTCAAAGCTTTTCCAGTGAAGCAATAATTGATATTTAGATATGGACTTTAACTCGAAAGT